AAAAAAAAAAAAAAAATTGGCCAAATGGGTCTTTTCTTGGCTTGGTAAAAAAAATGGAGTAAATGCAGATTAACGAGTACGTTGGTCACACTCAAGGCGTGGGTTCTTGAAAAAAAAAGAGAAGAAAAAACAAAAACACGAGCAGTAGAAAAATCTTGGCTTTTTCTGTGTTGTTGTTTGAAGTATACTTTGAAGAACAGCAAACAGAAAAATTATGAAGTGAGAGAGAGTACAACTATTGCAAGTGAACAAAAACCAGACTGAGACTTGAAAAAAGCAGGACTTGGATTGGACTGTTTGTTTTTCTTGCTTTGTATTTTATGCATTTCCTTTTTATTGATTTTTTTATAATTTTTTTTTCTGGTTTTTATGTTTAGGGAGATGTCGCGGTCCCGGTTATAAAATCATTCCGTCAAGATTTGTAACTGTTAGATCAACTATCTCGGACGGTTATAAATCTTGATAAAATAGTTCCGTAACAAGACCATAGCATTTATGTTATGTTCAACAATAAAAGGAGTTAATTGTATTTAGCTACTTCATGCTAAAAATTCTTGTTGGTTCAATAAATTTAAAATCTTGAATTAGTTGTTCAGTAATTATGAAGTGTACATTTGCAAACAAGTTTGGCTAGGAACAATAATAAAATGAAAAATACACGTGCAATATTATTAAATTTTAGTAGAAAAACGGTAGATCAATTGGTAATATATTTTTAAAATACACATTTTCAAATATTTTTAGAGTCCTAGTCTTATTTTAGTCTTTATTATACTTCTTTTTAAATTGATAATTTCTTATCAAAAAGTAAAGGCAAATTTGCCCTTAATATCACGATTTTTATCGAAGTTGCAATTTAATCATGACCTTTTCACTTTTGCAAATTATATCACAATCTTTAATCTCTTGCAAACAGTCTGAAAATAGTCATAGAAAAGCTGATGTGGTCGAACAACAAACTGAAGATTGTGATATAATTTGCACGGGATATGCAAATCAGTCTGAAAATAGTCGTAGAAAAACTGATGTAGTCGAACAACAAACTGAAAATTGTGATATAGTTTGCACGGGATATGCAAATCGATGAATTTGCAACAAATTAAAGATTGATATATAATTTGCAAAGGTAAAAAAGTCGTGATCAAATTGTAATTTAAATAAAAAAAAAAAAAGTCATGATATTAAAGGCAACATTGCCAAAAGTAAAAGCACGAGTCTTTATTCTAGTATGTTCAATTAGTTCATCCAAATATTCATTCTTTACCAAACAAAAACACTACTAATTAAAATATTCGTTCATTAGAACCAAAATCCTATACATTCTAACTCACGCAATAATTAAATGAACCTGAATTATTTATTTAATATAGGCTAAAATAATAACTAATCATAGGCTCATAGCAATGGCAACAAACATAAAATCTTTCAAGTAAAGTTAAATGAAAGAAATTATCAACTATATAAAA